TTAGACATTTTTTCCTTTAAAAAACACTGACAATTTTGACGCAGACCCAGCGCATAGGCCCCACTCCACCACCCCGGCACTGACTAGAAGTCTAGAACATTCTGTTACAGTGTCCAAGATCAACTAATACAAGAAATCAAGAATTGATGTATTCACACTGAATATAATTGTCGGAAAATAGCCACCAAATTGAAAATAAAACTAAGAAACAGATCTTACAAACGATTAGCATATTCAAGCTCTGTAAAACAGAGGAATGATCGACTGGTCCCTTATAAACTCCCTCTTGGGTCCTAAAGCATTACTACCTATTACTTCATTATTAAGAGTATATATATACAATGTAGCAAAGATGAATATTATTTGTTTTATGAATGTGCTCTCAAGCCAAAATGTCTTCCGATTACACGAACTTAGAGAGAGTAATCTTCCATTAATCTGAAAATTTAACAAAGAGACAGGTAAACAGAAATAAAACTTTTGTCGACCAAAAAAACTTTTTTTTTCATCACACTCAAACCCAAACACAGTCCTCTCACATTCCGATCATACTCAAACCCAAACCATAAAACATCAGAAGAAAAAACAGAACGCAACCAAAGAACAGAACATCAGCTCAAGCAACTTGAACCTGAATATAGTCTATGGCTTCTTAGGCTCAGGAGTAACATTATTATTTCATATTGTTATTGAAATCCAAAGTAGAAACTCAGATTGAACTGCCACTATTACAGAGATTCAACAAGGAGAAAATTAAACAAAGAAAAAGCTTTTACTTAATCTTAGGACACAAAGTCTTACACACAGACCGATCATACTCAAACAAAAACCATAAAACATCAGAGAGAGAGAAAAAGCAGAACACAACCCCCAGAAGAAGAAGAACTCAAGCAACTTGAACCTGAATGGTCTTTGGCTTCTTAGGCTCAGGAGGAGGAAGTTTCTGGACAGTAACCTTCAAAACACCATCATGACAAACAGCAGAGATCTTGTCCAAATCTGCATTCTCAGGCAATAGAAACTTCCTCATAAACTTACCCATTCTTCTCTCCATCCTCACATACTTGACACCATCGTTCTCCTTGTTCTCTCTCTGTCTCTCACCGCTCACCACAAGCACATTCTCGTTCTCGATCTGTACCTTGATCTCATCTCCTTTGATTCCAGGCATGTCCACGACGAATGCGTAAGCGTTCGGTTGCTCGATGACATCAGCTGGTGTTGCAGCCATTGCCTTTGCGTCTCTCACGTAGACTCTTGATGGGTTCTTCTCGTTGTGTTGTTCTTCAGGGACTTCGAGCATGTCTTCCAGGATTGAGATTATCGGAAACCTTCCAAAATCCATTGATTGCT